CAACACTAACCTGGCTGTTGTCTTCGGCCCTAACCTGCTGTGGGCCAAGGATGCAGCCATTACCCTCAAGGCCATTAATCCCATCAACACCTTCACCAAGTTCCTTCTGGATCACCAAGGGGAGCTGTTCCCCAGTCCGGACCCCAGGGGGCTCTGAACCTGGCCCCTGCCCCACCAGACCCTTTTCTGGTAGCCCAGGTTTGGACTCTTCCCCCTGGCATCAGGGGCCATGAAGCCCCCTGGAGAGAGATGCTGGAGCCATCCATCAGGCATGCTCTCCCCCACCTCTGTCCAGCCCGCCTCACGGCCCTGGCGGCCTTGCTGTTACCAGAAGACGTTTTTCTTCGCCTTACACTTCTCACTGCCTCTCTGGACACCTGGCTTTTGCTGGGCTCTCCAGAGCTGGGCTTGGCTCTTCTAACTGGAGAAGGACTGAGCCCCAGTAACCCTTTTCCTGCTTTTTCTGCCTCTGTTTCCCTGGCAACTGTGGATGAACCAAATCACTGCCGGCTGGGCTGGTAGCAGGGGCCGGTCCTCCCCTCTGGATTGCTGGAAATGTGCAGCTGAGCTCCTTGGTGTGGACATCACCCCAAGCTGAGGTGCCTCCCTGTCTGGTAGGCTGCCCTGCTTTGCAGAAGTCCCACTGCATGAAGGCCTGAGTGCAGGCACCCTTGCTCCTATACTGCCCCCAGCAGCTCAGTCTGGGGTATTTCCCCTGCTGAGGAGTGACAGGGCTGGAGCCTGTGTCTGCTTTCTGCCTCCTTCTCTTCCACACATCCTGGGTCAGCCTTTCCCAAGTGATACTGCCCCTGGGGTGTCCTAACCCCTTGGTTCTGCTGGGACTGGTAGCTTGGATGACAGTGCTCAGAGTCCCAGCATCCACTTGAAACCTCCCTCTCCACCTTCCCGCCCCTGAGAGCTACAGTGTGCGGTGGGATCAGTGACTGGCTGGGTTGGCCTCTCCCCTCCTGGCCTCCTTTCCCACACGGGCAGATCATCAGCCTTCAGGTTCTTGTGGACCTGTCTGTTGTGGAGTCACACTGGCCCCTGCCCTGGCCAGAGGTGACTCAGTGCCTTAGGATCTCTGTGGCTCCTTCCTCCAGCTGGGGGACTCTTAAAGGGGCTGGGGTAGAGGCTATGAGTGCCCATAGGAGGGGCAGAGATTGTGCTGATAGATCAGCCCAGGTAGGTGGGTTCTAGCAATTTCCCCAGGGGATTAAGGGGCTCTAGGGCCCCCCACTTTTTCTGAGATGGGAGTCTCACTGTTGCCAGGCTGGAGTGCAGTGGCACAATCTTGGCATACCTCTGCTTTCCGGGTTCAAGCGATTTCTCCTGCCTCAGCCTCCTGAATAGCTGGGACTATAGATGCACGCCACCATGCCTGGCTAATTTTTGTATTTTTAGTAGAGACAGGGTTTGACCATGTTGTCCAGGATGGTCTCGATCTCCTGACCTCGTGATCCACCCACCTCGGCCTCCCAAAGGGCTGGGATTACAGGTGTGAGCCACTGCACCTGGCCAGCCCTGTTGTCTTTCAAAGAACCTCGACCCCAATGATGGCTGATCTCTCACTCCCACTGTCTCATAGAATTACACTCCTTCCTGGGGACTCCTGTTCCCGCAGTCTTGTCCTTGGGGAGTACAGGGAAGTACCTGCAGTGACCCTGCCCCCACGACCTTGGCCAGGCAGGACAATTCCAGAGCCCATACTGTGGGAATCCTCACTGACCAGCCCAGCTCCATCCACAAACCAGGCTGGGCCTGGGTGTAACTTCCCTGGGCTCTCCCAAGACCATCGGCAGCGCATTCAGCCCCCTGGGGCCTGGGCTTTTGCTGGTTCTCTATCAGTCCCTTGGTCTCTAGCCTCATCCAGGGCTGCTCTGCTCTCCGCCTTCCTTTGTGTATCAAGTGTCGCTCACAGCCCCATTCACTGGGGAGCCTTTTGGATCTATTTGGTCTTTCTCATGCCCCCACTGGTCTGTACCCCAGGGAAGGGGCGCTTGTACTGTGAATCCAGTGTTCACATTCACACTTAATGACTTCCTTGGCACCAATCATGTATTTCACCATTTGCACTTTTTGTATTTCAATAAAAATGGAGATGCAAAACGGCCCATCTGGATGTCGGGGAAATGAGTGGGGTGTGGAGGTTGGGAACTGGATGGCAAGTGTGGTGCGGTGGAGGAAAAGGAACAGATGGGGCTTCAGGAAGTCCCCTCCCCAGTCCGTCTGCTGCTTCCTCATCTTGTGCACTCGAGTGGTGATGAGGGCAGCTTCCTGACCAGCTTCTAGGCATGGAGGTGTCCACAGCCACCTTCCTGTTGTTTGTACCCCCAGCATTCCAGTGGGCCACCATGTGCTGCATCCTATGACCAGGGCCTCTCTTCTTTTCCCAACTGGAATGTACCAGAAGTTTGAAGGGAGCTTAATCTAAGGCAAGCAGGGGGAAGAAAAGTGGTGGGGACGGTGGTGGACAACGGTGTGGGATCTGGAGTCACACAAGAGTTTGAGTCCTCATTCCCTCACATGCCAGTTCTCACTGCTAACAGTCATCATCACTGGCTCACCACCCCTGTGGCTGCTGCTTCATCAGAGGACAGTTCCTTTGAGATTCAGAAATAATGCAGACACCCCAGGCACATGGCTCACACCTGTAATCCCACCACTTCGGGAGGCAAAGACAGGAGGATTGCTTGAGCCCAGGAATTAGAGACTAGCCTGGACATAGATCTCACATAGTAAGATCCTGTCTCTACCAAAAAAATACATATATATATATTAGCCGAGCGTGCTGGCACATGCCTGTGGTTCCAGCTACTGAGGCGGCTGAAGTGGGAGGGAGGATTGCTTGAGCCCTGGAGGTCAAGGCTGCAGTGAGCCATGATTGCACCACTGCACTCCAGCCTGGGTGACAGAACGAAACCCTACCTAAAAAAAAAAAAAAAAAAAATGTAGACAGCATCTAACACCGCGAGTGTGCAGTGGTTATGGGTGAATGGTGTGATAGCCCCAGCCTCATGCAGCAGCTGGGAGAGGGTCCCTCAGCCCGAGCCCTCCCTTCCTGCCCACCCCTCAGCCTGAGGCCAGGCCGTTTCCCCTGCCATGCCTACACAGAGGCTGTGACAGATCCAGTTCTCCTATCCTCTCTTCAGCAGGTTTTGCTTTGCTTTAAAGGTTAAGATGGTTATTTACTGCATTTTTTTTTTTTTTTTTTTGAGAAGTTTGTTGGTGGGAGAGTAGGCTGGAATTTCACCTCCCACAGTGGTCAGGGTTCCAGGTGTCTGCTGCTTGCTTGCTAATGGCAATCAGGAGGCTATAGCAGCCCCAGCTGGGCCTGGTTTTTCTCCTCCTCGCTGGTCTGGGCTGGGGGAGCAGCACCAGAGCTGCAGCATCAGGCTGTGGTTACAGATGGTGGTTACAAACACTGGGCCTGAGCCCCAGGAAGCAAGTCCCATTCCACAATGCTGGCCTTCCTCCAGGCACTGGCGGCCTCCTCTCTCTCTGGATCTGCTCAGCTAGAGCTGGGTGACTGCAACAGAGAGGCAGTGACCCAGGGAAACAAGAGCGAGGAAACTGTTTACTTGGGTTGGGCTCCTGGCAGGGCCTCTGCTGAGTGACTCAAATGCCCATTTACCAAGACCTTAGCAACGCTGGCCGCCGGGGTTGGAGTGTAGGGAGATGCTTTAAAGAGGTAGGACACCATTGCTGGGCATGGGGCAACTGAGAACTTTGTTATTGGAGGTTCCTGGTTGAAGGGCAAACACTAGGAACAGACTTTTCATCACTTCTGACTCAGGTATTGGGCAACTGTCCTGGTTGGCCACACGGTCAGTGTCACCTGGTTTACTAATAATCAGGAGTTCCCGGCTCCAGGAATAGGCTGGATTTGGACTTTTCTAACCAGCACCGCCCCCCCGCCTTTTTTTTTTGAGACGGAGTCTCGCTCTGTCGCCCAGGCTGGGCTGCAGTGGCTGGATCTCAGCTCACTGCAAGCTCCGCCTCCCGGGTTTACGCCATGCCATTCTCCTGCCTCAGCCTCCCGAGTAGCTGGGACTACAGACGCCCGCCACCTCGCCCGGCTAGTTTTTTTGCATTTTTAGTAGAGACGGGGTTTCACCGTGTTAGCCAGGATGGTCTTGATCTCCTGACCTCGTGATCCACCCGTCTCGGCCTCCCAAAGTGCTGGGATTACAGGCTTGAGCCACCGCACCTGGCTTAACCAGCCCTTTTTAATCCTGGGCCCGGCTTCAGCCTGAAGGCGGGTGGGACAGCAACCCAGACAGCAGCTGTCTAGTTATTGTCAGTTCTCTTTTGCCTCTAGAACCATCTCTACCTCTAGGACCTTGGCTCCACTAATCAGCTCCCTCCTGCAACTATGGGCACAAACTAGGAGAATTAGGAGGCGGGGCTGGCCCTGGCCGGGTTGAGAGGCCTGCAGCCCCGCCCCCGGGAGCCAGACAGGACACATCCCCCCGGGGCTCTTCTACTCTTCCTGGCTCCTCACGGACTGCCAGTCAGATCAAGGCAGCTAACAAACTTGCATGAACCTTTAAATTCCTGCTACTTCTCTTCTGCTTGCTCAGCCACAAATCCCCTGGATGGCCTGAGGAGCCCTGCACTCCCTGCCTCCCACTGTTGTTTTTCTCTCCAGGGTGAGTTCTGTTACATAAGAGCAATAAAGAGCTGATGACAGTGGCCTACATTTTATGGAGATTTTACTATGGGTGTATTTTAAATGCATTCTCTAACTGAATATTCAAATACGAGCCCCTGACAGGGGACCAGGGAAAGAGAAATTCTAAGAAGTTTCCTGACCCGGGAAACCCCAGGGTGTACAGCTGCTAAGTGGCCACACCCGACTCAAAATGGGCTTGCCCAGACACTGAGGTCTTTCTGCACTTTCCAATGCACCACTCTCCCCTTTCCCAGACCTGCACTGGGGCAGGGGTGGGGAGAAAGGGGTTACGAGGTCTTCAGACAACCTGCAGGACAGGAGGCTGTAAAGTACAGAAAAAAATTTATTGGAAATCTCTTGAATACATTTTGAAGTGTAGCTCAGTATTTCCAAACAAAGTAGGTTGGAAAGGTTGGAGGAGGAGGGACTCTGCCACCTGGAGACAGACAGCTGGTCCCAGCCTTTCCCGGGGGTGCTGCAGGAGTCAGTCTAGGGCTTATTCCTTTTATGGTAGGGCTGAGGGGCAAGGGCCGGCCTTAACAGTTGCTTTACTTCTCCCAGGCTCAGCCCAAAGTTATGGCTGAGACTCGTCACAGATGGAGCACTGGTGAAAGGCTGCTGCCACCTGCAGAGGCCAAAGATTGCTGCCTGGGACAATGGCTAGTAGGCCTTTCCATGCAAGGCCTTGGAAAGAGAGCAGTGGCTGAAATATGGGGGCATTAATAACTTACCAGGGGCCTTCCCCCTTCTCAAAGCTGGGGCCTTGGCGATACACCTGGGCCTGGGTTCAGCAAGCCACGCGTGTGCTCTGGGCCAAAGATAGGAGGGCCAGTTGGCTGCTGCTGCTGCTGAGAACAGTTCTCTGTGGCAGCAGCAGCATGCAGAGCTCGGGTCCCCTCCAGAGCCTGCTCCAGTCCTCAGAGATCAGCCTTGTAGGTGAGAACAGTGTCACATGCAGTTTACTAACAAGCAGTTGAGAGCCACCTGGTCCACTGAAGCACAGCTGCTGCCAGTGAGTGCCCCAGGTGGGTCAGGAGGAATGGAGTAAGCCTATATCTCCTTGGCCAGGACTACCAGCGAGGCTGGGAAAGGACAGATGGTAGGTGGGTGAGGCTAGACACTGGACTTATTCAAGTAACAATACCTGAAGGGTTAAGTCAATCATACGCCCAGCTTTGGTTTCTCAACCAGGAGCCAATCCAGCTGGTAAATCCCAGGGCAGTGTACAGACCCTGGGTTAGAGGGAGGTGTAGCTAGGCCCAAGCAGGAGAAGGAAAAGCTCCACAGGACAGCCCCAGGGATCAGGAACAAGTACTCCAGCAGTCAGGGGAACATACACAACATCCCCTAACCACTACATGTGGCCATCACATTTAGCACCCAGGACTTCCTGGGCTGCCAGAATGGAGTCAGTCACTCTGCAGAAGCTGTGGGAGATGTAAGACTCTCACCAGGAATATGCAGCTGTCCAAGGTAAAGCCTGTAGTCAGTTCCAGTGCAGCCACGCTGGGAGGTGACTTTGCCCCTGGCCAGCCCTCTTCTTGGATCTCGCCGTCTGTATGGTGGGAAGGAAGATCCTCGCAGCAGCAGCCCGGATTCTCAGGAACCTCCAGAAGAGGAGGTCTCCGTCCCAGGAAGAGCCCTCCACCTTCTCCAATGAAAAACAACTCACCTCAAACATCTTTTCTCTATAAAATATCTGGTTTCTCTGAAAGTAATAAATATTTACCGTGTTCTGTAACCAAGGAGCAGCAACAGGGGAAAAAGAAGAAGAGAACTTTGCTGTGACTCCAAGTGACAAAATCCTAGAGATTCAGGGTTCCATTTTTATCTCCCATGGAGCTGAGGACCTGAGCGCAGGCAGCCACCAGGGCTGCTCAGACCCTCCCAACCTTCAGGGGTGGGAGTGGCTGGTTTTGGAGTTCTCATCTTGGGCAGGCAGGCCTGTCATACTGCCAGAAGTACAGGCATTGGGGCAATAGAGGGAGGAAGAGGGGAAGAAGATAGAAGGAAGTAAAGAGGACAATGAAGAGAGCCAAGGGACTCCTTCCTTCTTCCTCCTGGCACTGTCTCCTTCCTCTTTCTGCCTCCACACCAATCTCTTGGCCACCAGCTGGAATGTCAAATAGTGGATGGTAACAGCAGGCAGGGAAGGGGCCAGCTGCAAGGCAGGCCCAGGCAGGAGGCCAGCAGCAGGAGGAACAGGATGACATCCTTGGGAAGCAGTTGGTGATGGGCGGGGCACACAGATGGCCCTGCTGAGGGCTTTTTCGTAGGGTCTTCCCATCTCCAAGGCCAGCATGTGAGTCTTCTCCAACTGGGCACTGGGCTTGACTGCCACCACGGAGTCTCTAGGAGGTCCAAGAGTAGGGACTTCTGGGTCCCCATGAGAGAAGCCAGCCTCCCTTCCACCTGGCTCAGAGCAGGATGAGGGGTGGGAGCAGCTGATGCATGGGAGGCTGCCTGTCCTCTGGGGCCACAAAAAGGGGGTGCTGCTGGGACTTGAGGATACTTTTACTGCAGGGTTTCCACAAAGGCATCAAACTCGCGGACATTCTTCTCATGCACAGCCAGCTTCTCTGGTAATGAGTCCTGTACCGGAAAGAGAAGGAAGAGCCATTTACTCAGGCAGGGCCTTGAAAAGGCAGCTAGCCCAGTCCCCAAAAGGGGAGGAAGCAAGCAAGACAAAGTTCAGCCCTAGCTGGGCCGAGGAGGTGGGAGAACGCAGGGCAGCTGCGTAGGCACAGGGTGGGGAAGGGTATATGCATCAGGGCTTTGCGGGGCTGGAGGGTTAATGGAACGACCTTGGGAGTCCAAGTGGGTCACACACTTAATGAAAGAGAAAAGGACCACAAGAGCGAAATGATCCAGAAATTAAACATGAAATATCCCTGGCACAGATCTGACTGACACTAGAATAAAACACGAAGTGTACAGCTCTACAAATTAAACAGAGTTTACAAAAGATTTCTTCACACCCTTTGCTGGGCATCAGGACCCCCTGGGGAACATGAACCAGGTGGCCCCGCTATACTCCCGATATTCTGACACAGCAGCAGGTCTGTGGTAAGGCCTAGGAATCTGTATTTTTTTTTTTTTTTGAGACAGAGTCTTGCTCTGTCACCCAGGCTGCAGTGCAGTGGTGCCATCTCAGCTCACTGCAACCTCTGCCTCCTGAGTTCAAGCAGTTCTCTGCCTCAGTCTCCCGAGTAGCTGGGATTACAGGCGCCCGCCACCACGCCCAGCTTATTTTTTGTATTTTTAGTAGAGATGGGGTTTCACCATGTTGGCCAGGCGGGTCTTGAACTGATGTTGTGATCCACCCGCCTCGGCCTCCCAAAGTGCTGGGATTACAGGCATGGGTCATTGCACCCGGCCAGAATCTGTTGTCTTTACGCCAGCTGAGGAAGGGGTGAGTTAGAGGAGGTTGAGAGAGAATGGTAAAGAGAGCAGCAGAGGAAAACAGAACTGTGAAAAGTTTAACTGTCCTAGAGTATCAACTATTAATAAAAATGTGTGTCTACTGATGACTAAATGAACAGAAGCTACATCTGCAGTTTCACCATCACAATTTCCTGACAGTAGGGGTTTAAACATGACCACAAGGCAGTCTGGAGAGTCTCTTGCGTCGGAGCTTATAATGTGGCCTGAACACACCAAGAGCTGAGGGTGGTTTGGGTGCAGCTTCCTGAAAGGAGAGGGAGGCCTCAGAACTGGCTATGGCTGTGGCATCAGTTGAGAGAACTGGAGCCACACTTTCTTCCAAGTGCACGTCATGATAGGGGGGAGTTTGGTGGTTAAAAGGCTAAATTGAGAAGCCAGATCCTCTAAGATCAAACAAAGCTTTGTTTTGCCTGGGTCTGTGTGACCATGAGCAAGCTAATCATTGTTGGTTTTCTCATCTGTAAACTGGGATGAGAAAATTTACCTCTTACGACTGTTGAAGATTCATGTAAAACACTAAGAAAAATGCCTGGCACTCAAAAAGCCTTTATTTTTATTTTTATTTTTTTCAGACAGAGTCTCACCCTGTCACCCAGGCTAGAGGCAGTGGCACAAACATGGCCCACTTCAGCACTGACCTCCCCAGCTCAAGCAATCCTCCTGCCTCCACCTCCCGGGGCAGCTGGGACTACAGATGCATGCCACCACGCCCAGCTAATTTTTTGTACCTTTTGCAGAGACAAGGTTTCACCATGTTGCTCAGACTGGTCTTAAACTCCTGAGTTCAAGTGAAGGCCTCAGTTGCTTCAGCCTCCCAAAGTGCTGAGATTACAGGCATGAGCCACTGTGCCTGGCCCCAAAAGCCTTGGTAATAATAATTATTACTGTATTTATTCATTTTTTTTTGAGATGGAGTCTCACTCTGTCACCTGGGTTGGAGTGCAGTGGTGCAATCTTGGCTCACTGCAACCCCCACCTCCCGAGTTCAAGTGATTCTCCTGCCTCTACCTCCTGAGTGGCTGGGATTACAGGTGCCCGCCACCATGCCTGGCTAATTTTTGTATTGTTAGTAGAGATGGGGTTTCACCATGTTGACCAGGCTGGTCTCCAACTCCTGACCTTGTGATCTGCCTGCCTTGGCCTCCCAAAGCGCTGGGATTACAGGCGTGAGCCACCGCGCCTGGCTATTACTACTGTATTATTATTACTGGGCATGCTTTTCTCCTTAAAGCAAATACAGGGCAGCTACCATAGGATCTTAGTATCTATTTAGGAGGTGTTCATTCCACCTCAAAGAGGGACATCTCCTGGCATGGGGCACCCAAAGTTTGTGGCTTGTGCAGGGTACTCTTCTGCCCCTCAGAGGCAGGAAGAGGAAATGCCCTAAGCAGAGATGGGGTCATTATGGTCAGTATCAGGACATCTGGCCAAGCGTGAGAACTGCTAGATGATGGAGTGAGCTCTCTGAGGAAAGGGCAAAAACAGACACTCAGGACCTCACAATCTCCTCTGCCCAGTACCACTGGCATCTCCCTGGAAAGCTAAATAGCTAATGCAAGGGCTGTCAGAGCAACTTGGCCTAGTAGCATCTGCAAGGAGAAGACGTCAGGCACAGAACAACAGGAGCATGTGAAGTAATGCTGAGAATGTGCAGAGAAAGGAGGAACCAAGCTCAAGCAAATTCCAGATAACGACTGCTGGGCACAATGCAAATCTCAAGTGTGATCAAAAGATAATGGTCTAAGTATGTCTCTTCTCTACTACAGGGAAGACAGAAGGTGGGAGGCCTCCTAGGCCTGTGGCAAAGGAATGACCATCAAATAAGGATGCACTGTGGTAGAGGAAGGCTTTTCCATACCAAGTCTTCAGCCATGGACTGTGCTCCAATATCTATGGAGAGGCTGCTCAGCTGAGGGGGGTTCTGAAACTCCCGATAGAAGGTCCCCAGGTCCATCGGAAGAATGTCATCTTTAGAAAAAGCTGGTTTCTTCAAAAACAAGACAGACTCAGTTTAGCTTGCCTTGAACCACAGAGGAGATAAGCTATGAACAAGTCTTTCCTTCTAGCAATTATCAAAGAAAAGGTTCTTCTGGGCTTATCTTAGGGAGCGAAATCTTTACACTTTTCTCTTCCAGACTGTTTACTTCTAATGCTGGTAATAATATTCCTCTTCACTAGTTAAGTTTATGTCCCCTTTCTTCAAACTCCTTGCCTAGGCACGAATAGGACCTAAGTAGATATCAGTGGAAAATCTCCATTTACAGTTGAATTTCATTATGAATTTTAACCAAAGGCATGACACAAAATGCCTTGTTATTTACTGGCCTCCAAAATATCTCCCCAGACCAGGCTCCACCTGTCCATCCCTTCTGTCTATACCAGCACATCTGATCCCTATGAAGGAAATCTGGATCAAGTGCACTAGGTACTTCTAGGTCTAGTTCCCCGGGACAGCAAAGGTCAAGGAAGGTGATGGTGACTTACAAAGTCTATCATAACAAAGTCATCATGGGTATTGCCACTGCTGCCCCCGCTGGAGCCATCTGAGTGCAGGCTGCCCTGGAGAGGAGATTCAGTCTGTGGGGAATCTGGAGGATTCACCTGTTTCATAGCAAGGCAGGGTTAGGGCTGATGCTGTGACCCAGATTCAAGTTACTGTAAACAATCTGAAAATTCTGGGAAGAACTTAATGCTGGCTACAAATCCATAAGCCAAGGGGCCATGGTTTACTGTTTGTGGGGGATTAGTGTGACTCTGGCCCAGGAAGAACAATGACTACCGCACCATCTACTGGGAACTCGTAGTCAATGGTGGGCTCACCATCGGATCCGTATCCTCCAGCTCCAAATTCTTGGGAGCAAACATGGCAAAGGGTATATCCAAACTCGTCAGGGTCACCTAAAGAGACACAAGAGAAAAGCATTCATGCCTGCCCCTCCTGCAGTGTTCATGCTTCCTTCCAGGCTGCCCAGAGGTCCAGCAAGTTCGCCCACCTATGCTGACCATGTTGCCCCTCAGGCTCCTGCCTTGTTAGAGGCTCCCCAAGCTCCCTCACCTCCCTGTCCCCCATCATAACAAGGGTTGGGGTCCTGAGGACCCTCTGGGAATTCAGTGTTGCAAGCCTGCCCCACAGTCATGCAGTAACAATGTGCTTCACTGGCCCCGCTGAGGAGGAGCCTCCCAGTTCAATTCAAATAAGGCCGAGGCAATGACACAGTGCTGTGTTTTTGTACTAAATGGTATCTAGGTCTAGTCTCCCTTTCTTGTAGGCGGCCTTTAAAAGGTCACAGAACAATAGTTCTTAACTTACTCTGGAGGGGTAGCACAGGTTATTAATCCTCTTCACAGAAAAATTTACACACACATGCAGTTTTGAGATATTAATATTTCAGGTTAAGAAAACTGCCTGTGGGGCCTTACTCTAAGAACTCAGACATTCTCACAGGTGGCAATGGCAGGAAAATCACCTGATTAATGGGTTTGTTGACAAAAGCCCCCACTTTTCGGACAAAGATGGTCTCCAAGACATCATGGGGGGAGGCCCGTCCCTCGCTGCTGTTTGATACAGTTTCAGTATCCTCACTGGAGAAGAAAGGTTAAGTTAGTACTCATTCTCAAACCACAGCAGGACAACTTAGTTCTCTATAAATCCACCATCTGGTGGGGCTGGGGCCTAGGGCAGGAGTTGGCCCCCACTGGCCCATCAACGGGAGATGGCATTACGTGGTCTGGCTGATGCCACTATTGCCCTGCCTTTTGAGTTGATTGCAGAGGGCTGCACTTCCTGGAACTACTAAAAGTTCTAGCTTTTCTTCTTCTTTAGTTCCAAACTTGATTCCTTAGCCTGCCAGAGCTCTCTTCGCCCTTGACAAATTGCCTGGGCTAAGGTTCTCTGGGCTCCCTGCCATGTTTCTTCCCCTCTCCTCGCCCCCAGTCATCCCTCCCCTCAACTAAAGGTCTTTGAATGACACATTTACTTTGGCTGCTCCCACTCCCTCCTTCCCCAGCCCTTCAGATTGAAGCTGAGTCCTGCACAGGGGGGCCTAAGCAGCAGCAGTGGGGGCCCATGGCTGAGGCTGCCAAACCAGCAAGCAGCAAGGGTTAGGAAAAGTCCTCTGGCCAAAAACAGGGGTTCAAGGTGGGCAGAGGATTGTGCAGTCAAGTGGCCCCTGGGCTCCAGCCAACAGGGAGGACCTGTACTGTGCAAATTTTGAGCTCTTAAGACCTCCATTTAAGAATTCTCATACAACAGGGGCCTCTGTCTTTACTCCTGGACATGTCCCAAGAGTCAAGGCTCAGAAAACTAGAGTGTAAAATGCCTTTAATCATCTAACAGAGGGAGAAAAGGGAGAGGATGGAAGTTTGAGAAGACAGGAATGACACAAATTATTTTTCCTGATGCATGGCACACACACAAAAAAACTTCCTAAAGGACTTCCTTCCCACTTTACCGTGGGAATAAAAAAAAAAAAATCAGGAATTTCTATCATGAGAAAGTTCATTTAGAATGTGAGGAGGCAAAGTAATCTCATTATCTCTGGGGACTTCAAAATCAAGGGAGGGTAGGGCAGGTCAAAACAGCCCATGGCTCCCCAGGGAGAGTGAAAGCATCGTGGAAAGAAGGGGTGGGGCTCTGGAGTCAGAGAATCTGCTTGCCCTCCTGCCCTGTGAGCTAAGTGAGCTCAGGCCAATCACTTAACCCTTCTGAAGGTTTCTTGTCTTTAAAAAAAGCAGGCAGGCCGGACGCAGTGGCTCAAGCCTGTAATCCCAGCACTTTGGGAGGCCGAGGCGGGCGGATCACGAGGTCAGCATATCGAGACCATCCTGGCTAACATGGTGAAACCCCGTGTCTACTAAAAAAAAAAAAAAATACAAAAAACTGGCCAGGTGAGGTGGCGGGCACCTGTAGTCCCAGCTGCTGGGGAGGCTGAGGCAGGAGAACGGCGTAAACCCAGGAGGCGGAACTTGCAGTGAGCTGAGATCCGGCCACTGCACTCCAGCCTGGGCGACAGAGTGAGACTCCAACTCAAAAAAAAAAAAAAAAAAGCAGGCAACAGTAGTAACTTCTGCAGGGTGGAAACCTAAGAACGTTCGCTTCCTATCTAATGTCTTCAGGATTTGAGTTCTATAGAATGTATCACTTCGGTAACCAGAAAACACAAAGCTTTACATTTTTTCACATGAGGAAAATAGTTGTTCCAAAGGCTCTCCACGAGGCTCTAACGCAGCAGAAAAACGAGATCAATCCCAACTACAACATAGACACACTGTGGCCCAGACTTCAGGGCTACGGTCAACAACCTGTTCTGGTCCTTGGAGAATACTAAGGATATAAATCTTGGGGTAAGAGAAAAACATCTGACAACCCCTTTACTGGATAAGGGTGACAAGAACTGAGCTCCTGCTGTTTCCTATTAGTACTGAAGTTCCAGGCCAGCTTCCTGACATCCCAGCAGATGTATCAGATTCTTATCAGGGAACTTCAAGGAGTCCACACTTTGTTTTTCTCTTTCTTTTTAAAAAATATATTTTTGAGGCTGGGTGTAGTGGCTCACGCCTGTAATCCATGCACTTTGGGAAGTCAAGGCGGGAGGATCACTGGAAGCCAGGAGTTCAAGACCAGCCTAGGTAACACGATGAGACCCCATCTCTACTAAAAATACAAAAATTAGCAAGGTGTGGTGGCACGCATCCATAATCCCAACTACTCAGGAGGCTGAGGCAGGAAAATCGCTTGACCCCAGGAGGTGGAGGGTGCAGTGAGCCATGATTGTGCCACTGCACTTCCGCCTAGGCAACCGAGTGAGACTCTGTCTCAAAACAACAACAAAAAAAAGGAAAAATAAATTTTTTTGAGAGACAGAGTCTCCCTATACTGGCCAGGTTAATCTCAAAATCCTGGCCTCAAGCAGTCCTCCCACCTCAGCCTCCCCCAAAGTGCTGGGATTATAGGTATGAGCCACCACTCCCAGCCAGGAGCCCATGCTTTGGGCTCAAATGCCACGCCCCAGCCAGTGCTGAAAGTTACTTTTTACCGATACTAAATAAGCACGTGTGTCAGGGAGCCCAGGCCCCTGGCCAGCCTTACCAGAGACAGAGCCAAAATCTGAACTCACCTACTGGAGGGTGTGGCAGCACAGTGGGTTCCGTCAGAAGGGGTGCAGGTTGCCAGTCTCTCCTGGTCAGCCTGGGCACCATGGACAGGCTGGTTGGAAGCAAGGGGTACCCCACCTTCCTTCCCAAGAACCATCAGCTTTGGGGGAAAATGGAAAGAGACAGTGAATCATGGCATGCCAGGCAGGAGGGCAACCTCACATTCTAGCATGATAGTATCTGCTTTTGACTTTTCCATCACCAACGCTGCCACCAAGTGGGCAGTAATCCCTGGATCTTTATCCTCTCTGAAACTCAGTTAATGGAAGAAATGCACGGTAATGACTACAGATGAAAAAGGAAAGGGGGAAAAATCCTGGAAAAGCCTTTCCTTTCTGAACTCTAATAGGCACCTTCCTCTCAGAGAGTCACTTTAGGTCTCTGAAGTTACAAAAGAGCTCTGCTTCAGAATATAGCACTTATAACATATCCCTCTGCCTAGACAGAGTCCTCAACTGCCTCCGGGCAGGGGAGGCAGCATTGGAAATCCATGGTCCTCCCCATCTTTAAAGATACCTGGTGAGGGTGTGTAGCATTTAAGCCAGCAGCAAACACTACTGGATAAGCCAGGTCAGCTGATCCAACGCCCAGGGCAGCAGGCTGATAGGAAAGGCGAGAGCTTGAGAGCTAAGCAAGAGAAAAACAAAGAGAAGAGGAAAGGCAAGGAAAAAATAGGCAATCCCAGAGCGTGACAAACAAGAGGGCTCAGCAGAGAGATGAGGAATGGCTCCCGCCCACATGCCCACAGTGCAGGGTCCTGACGTGATAGGGTTAGGGATATACCAGGCCATTATCAGAGGAGAAAACACAGACTTGTTTGTACTGGGACTGGGATTCCAAGCTGTGGAGCCTCCCAAAGGCCTCAAATAAGTTCCTTTCTCCCCGTTTTCCCAGGGGCTGAGCTAACTGTTTCAGTGCTAAGCCCAGCAGATGTGTGGAGCACAAGCCTGGGCAGAACTGGCAGCCAAAATCAGGTTCTCCAAAGTCATTTTATTCTCTCCTTTGTCCTGAGGCCCCTTTGAAACAGAAAGTCATCTTCTCTAATCACACCCTCCATCACCCCTGGGTATGGGAATGTTGCTATTTATATTGAAAAAAGACAGAATACCAGTTGTGAGTTGTTTATTTAAAAATCTGATATAAATAACTCCATGTATTTTTCACATCAATGGTAGGAGGAGGGGCAGATGAAAAAATTCCCTATTTTGGGCTGCTGGGCTGTGGCTGTGTCCTATTAAAATCTATTACCAAGCCTCAAAATAATCCCAAAGAACACTCGGGACATTTAAATAACTACACCCTGTAATTTATTTACAATTTTTAAATAAAAGTATGCCATCTGATTATATCCCCTTCTTCCCATTATGGACTCACTTGATGGGAAAAGGCCAGTCCTGCCATGGGGACCCTCAGGGTGTCCGTCACCACAGGAGTAGGGGTCTGAAAATGTGCCTTTGTGACAGTAAACACACACTGTGCACAGACACACACAGAGACAGGAGAAACAAAAGAAAAGAAAAGAAAAGAAAAGGGACTTGAGAAAGAAGTGAAGAAACTCTGGAAGGGGCAGTAGTAAGAGAGGCTGGAACCGACACTGGAGTCAGCAGTGAAGCAGGGCGAGGGCGTGGGGCTGTCTTTCCAAAGGGACAACTTGGAAGGTCCCTACAGTGATGTTTATTTCAGGGCATTCCATGTATGCCTGTCTCCCTGATGAGCAGCTAGAAAACAAAGCTGAGGTGAGCTGGCTACAACTTGGCAAAACAGAGAAACTTGAGTCAACTATTGGTCTGTCTCTACTCAAAAAAGAGAGGAAGTCAGATAGCAGCTTCCAAAAGAAGGGCCTGACTGCAGATGCAAGGTGTGCTGAAGATGAATAAGGATGTGGGGCTTGTAATGTTCAACTGAAAGCTTTTTTCAGGAAACCCAGAAACTGCAGGACAGTTTCAAATAGCTGACATTTGTTGGCTGGAACTTTAAGAAGCTCAGATGCACACTTTCCTACGTCATTCCAGGGAAGGCAAGTGGGTGTGCAGGGGTGTGTGTATGCAGTTCTTACAGTCCCTGGTGGCGTAGGTGAACCTGATGAAGTAAAAAGCTGGGGCACGTTGAAAACTCTCATGATTTCAAAGCTACTTAGGGGCATAATGATTATGGTCATGATGATTATTTTGGGTCTTGCTGTTCCTTTTTTTTTGGAGACAGAGTCTCACTGTCGCCCAGGCTGGAGTGCAGTGGTGTGATCTTGGCTCATTGCAAGCTCCGCCTCCTGGGTTCATGCCATTCTCCTGCCTCAGCCTCCCAAGTAGCTGGGACTACAGGTGCCTGCCACCATGGCTGGCTAATTTTTTTGGTATTTTTAGTAGAGATGGAGTTTCACCATGTTAGCCAGGGTGGTCTCGATCTCCTGACCTCATGATCCGCCCACCTCAGCCTCCCAAAAGTGCTGGGATTACAGGCGTGAGCCACCGCACCTGGCCTGTTGTTCCATTTATAAACCTGACCAATTAGCTAATTAATGCTTAGAACTGGAGGGAGGACCTTAGGCCACATAGTAGGTTCACTTCTAGACTCAACTCTGTGCCCAACTGGCACAATGATCCTTATACTGTTGGCAAAACCAACAACATGTATTTACTGGACTCCAGCAAAAGCTCCAGTAGAAACTGCTGAATTAAGTAATTATGCAAGTCACTAAGAAAAACACTACTTCAATATTAACAAGAATGAGGAGAAATGACAGCAAATGATTGTCTCTCTACCGCTGAGAGAAATTAGGTTCAAAATTGAGTATTTTTATACCAAATTGTACCAGCCTTGATCAGAGGTCCCCAGGGAGTAACGACAGGGCTCACTTATGGAGTGCAGACTGTTGATAAGAATTTGGCGTGATCTAGTTTTATACTGCGATAAGACACAATAAGAGTTACCATAAAAAAGACAGCCTCTAGTCACATAGGCATACAAACTTTGATGCAAACATCAGGTGCAGAAACTACTAAACTTCCCTTTACTTTTAGGTTCAACTTTCCATTGTATCAGGGAAACAGACAAACTGATTTGGTTAAGGCCCAGTCTCACCATACTTCATATCTCATAAGTCACAACTTTATTATTTATGAATCTATTACTTGTAAAACAGAACTGCTTACTGAAATTTAAATTTGACATATCTTTTAGAACAGCTGGGATGAGCTTATTAAAAAAAAAGAAAAATATTCAACATATCTACAACTTAATTACCTAAAAACAATAACAAAAAAACCCTGCTTCCATTAATGTGCACTAGGAAAGAAAGTAGGTCTTTGTCCGCTTTTTTTGTCAATGCTACTCCGTGTCAGTAAGCATACAAGAAGCTCCCCTGACCAGATCAATGCTGACATTCATGCCTACACATGTTCATGAGAGCAGGGGAATGACAATTCTCAAACCCCCAAACTAAACTGTTTTGGCAACTTTAGAACAAGAATCTTTTTCACCCTAAACAAACTAGGACAATAGAAACAATAGTGATCCATGGATTTTACAACATCAATAACAGACATTAACTCCTGCTTTTGAAACAGATTACAACTGAGTTTATTATTTTTTTTGAGACAGGACCTCACTCTGTCACCTAGGCTGGAGTGCAGCGGTACGATCTCAGCTCACTACAGTTTCAACCTCCTAGGCTCAGGCGATCCTCCCAGATCAGCCTTCCAAGTAGGTGCAACTACAGGTTTGTACCATCACACTCACTAATTTTTGTATTTTTGGTAGAGACAAGGTTTCACCATGTTGCCCAGGCTGGTCTTGAACCCTTGGGCTCAGGCGATCCTCCCTCCTTGGCCTCCCAAAGTGCTGGGACTACAGGCATGAGCCACTGAGCCCTGCAGAACTATGACTTTTTTTTTTTTTCTGTTGCCCGGGCTGGAGTGCAGTGGAGAAATCTTGGTTCACTGCAATCTCTGCCTCCCGGGTTCAAGTAATTCTCCTGCCTCAGCCTTCCAAGTAGCTGGGATTACAGGCACCCACCACTAGGCCCAGCTAATTTTTTTGTATTTTTAATAAAGACGGGGGTTTCACCATGTTGGCCAGGCTGGTCTTGAACTCCTGACCTTGTGATTTGCCTGCCTTGGTCTCCCAAAGTGCTGGGATTACAGGTGTGAGCCACTGTGCCCAGCAGAACTATGGCTTTAATCCAATATTTCCTCCAACAACCAAGGATGGAAAAAATTTTTTAATTTTTGGAATTACAAAGACAGTACTTGGGAGACTGAGGTAGGAGGATGGTTTGAGCCTGGGAGGCGGAGGCTGCAGTGAGCCAAGATTGCACCACTGCACTCTAGCCTTGGCGACAGAGCCAGACCCTGTCTCAAAAAACAAAACAAAACAAAACAAAACAAAAAAAAAACGCAGAAGGGCTGGGTGTGGTGGCTCAAGCTTATAATCCCAACACTTTGGGAGGCCAAGGCAGACAGATCACTTGAGTCCAGAAGTTCAAGACCAGCCTGGGCAACATGGCAAAACCCCATCTCTACAAAAAATTCAAAAAATTAGCTGGGCATGGTGGCATAAGCCTATAGTCCCAGATATTCTGGAGGTTTAGGTGGGAGGATCACCTGACCCTGGGAGGTCTAGGGTGCAGTGATCCATGACTGACTGCACCACTGCATTCCAGCCTAAGTAACAGAGTGAGACCCTGTTTCAAAAAAAAAAAAAAAAAAAGGGAAAAAGAAAAATTGAAAAAACAAAAACCAATAACAGTAAATAAAAACACATGGACAGCTAATGAATTTGTCTAGTTCCCCAAATAAAAAGTTGAAACGGGAGAATCTGGGCTGATTTAAAGGCAAGTAGAACTGAAGTAGGTCTAGAAGAAACCACCTAATATGAAAGTGAAAGAGGAGAACAATAATTAAGACAATGCAGACAGAAGAGGAATCTGGAGGCAAGGAAGCTGGGGATGTGTGACTTGTGGTGGAAGGCAAGAAATGTGCCCCTGCAATTCAGCCAGGTGCAAAAATCACTGTTTAGCCAAAGCTGCCTTGGCACTACACGCATTACACAAGACCACAGGGGTGCTTTCCCTGGGGAAGCTGACAACAGTGTTTGGAGCCTGTGGGTTTTTTTTTTTTTTTTTTTTGGAGACAGTCTCACTCTGTCGCCCAGGCTGGTGTGCAGTAGCATGATCTTGGCTTACTGCAACCTCCGCCTCCCTGGTTCAAGCGATTCTCCTGCCTCAGCCTCCTGAGTAGCTGGGAATACAGGCGCACATCACCACGCCTGGCTAATTTTTGTATTGTTAGCAGAGACAGGGTTTCATCATGTTAGTCAGGCTGATCTTGAACTCCTGACTTCGTGATCCACCCACCTCAGCCTCCCAAAGTGCTGGGATTACAGGCGTGAGCTACCGTACCTGGACTGGAGCCTGTTTTATGAAACTGGGTTTGCCACTGAAGACTGATTGAAGTGGAAAAGTTAATGGTTAAAAATGTCTGGATAGAGAATACACACAAGCAGAAATCTGTATCACCTATAAAGCAGAAATCTGTATCACCTATAAAGAAAAGCTGTATTACTGGTTTCTCCCTGGCATTTTACGCTAAATAATTTTTGGCTCTTTGGGGCCTCTTCCATTATTAGAAATGAAATTTATCACTCGATAGAGAAGTAGCTATGAAGTTAACAAGTGTAAGTCAGAGAAATCTCTGGTGTCAGAATGCATTTGGAATTCTGTGACTGATGTTCTAGGGAATTTTAAGATGTCATCAGGAAGGTAAGGGCTAAATGTAATCCCGAAGGTTATGAATTATTACAGACTAGAAATATTATCTTCTGGACAAGGCGGCTCTCCCTTACCCCTCAAAGTAATCCCCTTGAAATAATCACCATCACTACCAAAAGGGATTGTAGCTAAATTTGGACACCATTTCATAAAGCCCATATACATACCAAATAACAACCATCACCCAGAACCTGCTTCCCCCTACCTGGGATGGTGGGGAGGTGGAAAAAGAGGTGGTACACACTTCTTGAGAGTCTTCCACAGATGGGTATATTACTCCAGTGTCCTCACCAGCAGTTCTAAAGTGGAAAGAAAGAAATAATGTATTTTATGGTGGTGGCAGTCTTTCAGAAAGGCTACAAAAGCTGATTAGATAGGGATGGGACCTGTGCTAAGAACTATTTCACACAGTTCGTACTGGCAAGAAAGGCGTGTGGAGTCCTCGATAATTTCAAACATTCCAGAGAGTGGCATTCAGAGGTCTGACAACGTTTTGTTCTTGTTTTTCATTTTTGAGACAAGGTCTTACTCTGTCACCCAGGCTAGAGTGCTGTGGCGTGGCTCACTGCAGCCTTCCCAGGCTCAAGCAATCCTCCTGCTTCAGCCTCCCGAGTAGCTGGTACTACAGGAACGTACCACCACGCTCAGCTAACTTAATTTTTTGTAGAGACAGGGGTCTCCCTCTGTTGCCCAGGCTGGTCTAGAACTCCTCAGCTCAAGCAATCCTCCTGCCTCAGCTTCCCGAAGTGCTAGGATTACAGGTGTGAGTCACTGTGTGCAGCCTGTTTTGTGTTTTAAACCCAAACATCTTACCTGACCTATTATTTGCGAGAGCATTTTCTTTTTTTTTTTTTTTAAATTGGTAGACTCACTCACACCTGTGAGTGAGCACTTTGGGAGGCCGAGGCAGGTGGATCATCTGAGGTCGGGAGCTTGAGACGAGCCTGACCAACATGGAGAAACCCCATCTCTACTAAAAATGCAAAAATTAGCCAGGTGTGGTGGCACATGCCTGTAATCCCAGCTACTCGGGAGGCTGAGGCAGGAGAAACATTTGAACCCGGGAGGCAAAGGTTGCAGTGAGCCAAGATCACACCACGGCACTCTAGCCTGGGCAACAAGAGTCAAAATTCATCTCAAAAAAAAAACAGTAATAATAAAAATTGGTAGAGATGGTGTTTCGCCACGTTGCCCAGGCTGATCTTGAATTCCTGGGCTTGAGCAATCCACACATCTCAGTTTCCCAAAGTGCCGGGACTGTAGGTGTTAGACACCATGCCTGGTCTGAGAGAGCATTTTCTTAAGCCAGACCAGTAGTGGAGCTCACATCTGGGTTTTCAAAGAATTATCAGTAGTAGAGACTCCATGAAACAAGTATCTAAACCCTAAAGACAAGCTTATTCAATTTCACAAGTCTATCACATAAAGGTACTATCCTTCCTGATATACATCTATTCTAACCCCTGTTTTCTGAGTTCTAGACCTGGAGGCATTTTATTCTGATATAAAACTAATGTGCCAGATGGTAACCTGAAAACCAATTAATCCGCCAAGGATATTCCAGAAATCATTGCCACTCTTCTAAGGCTCCAAGTAACTTGTAACTGAGAAAAGTCTTTTTTTTTTTTTTTTTGAGATGGAGTCTTACTCTGTAGCCCACACTGGAGTACAGTGGCGCAATCTCGGCTCACTGCAACCTCTGCCCCCCAGGTTCAAGCAATTCTCCTGCCTCAGCCTCCTGAGTAGCTGGGATTATAGGCACACGCTGGCACGCCCAGCTAATTTTTGTATTTTTAGTAGAGATGGGGTTTCACCAAGAAAAGTCTTATCACTAACATCAAGATCCAAAATATCCCAAGAATTTTCTGAGACAGTCTGTATACACTAAGTCTTGGTGTACCTAAGAGGGAGCAGAAAGAAGGGAAATTAGCCCATTTGATTTCTCTCCATGTGGGGTCTCCATCAGTGCTCCCCTGCCCATTGGAGAGTGAGTGCTGAGAAAGGTGTTCTATGCACCTGTGCAGGATGGATGCTTCTGCCCAGCTGCAGTTTGGGAGAGCACCTTTTCACATTCCTCACCTGTAATTGCAGGGGTGCATGGGAGAGGAGCTGGGATAGGGACGGTCCACAAAGTGATCAATAATAATCCCCATGATAGGTGGGGTCCTCTCAAATTGCCTGTAATACAATAAGCAGATTCCAGTATTTGTTAGAATGCTTTTCCAGCCCCCACAAAGTCCTCAGAGGGCCCCTCATCTTGTATCTGTTGGCAGGCACTACCACAGCTTTAACTATCACAATCCCTAAATATAAACTACCAATCCTACATTCTGGACAAACTGGCTCTGGGACACTCAAATTCTCCAATCTGGCAACCGTGCTCTCTCTTTCTTGATTTTATTCTTCTGAAGGCACTGCTTTCAGCAAAGCTGCATTGTAGGTTTAGTCTTAAAGTTTAGGAGAAAAAAAAACTATCTTTGGAAGAGTTCTTTTGGATTCCAGGGCTCTTCCTCACCTGGTAGACATGAATGCCAAGTTAATTCTGTAAGCACAAGAAAGAGTGATGGTGCCCACAGGGGTGCCCACTGTCCCAACACGAACTGTCTGGAAGCCTAGGAGAAAAGATACATTATTAGCTTTTTTTGCAGAGAATACTGATACTGACACTGCCCCTAGACCGTTTTTCCCTGAATTATTTGGCCTATTGTGTAATCTCTGGCATTATCCACTTAGCACGTTAAGTGTAGCAGCCTTAATTTCGTTTGTGTGCGTGTATATATAGGTTCCTTCCCTCTCAATGTATTCTATATCGAGCCAATATTGGCAGGGGAAATAGCACTCTATTTATAGATAAAGCTACCTTCAAAGAGACAAAATAACTGTTAGTCTTAAGGCCTGAGAAAGTTCTACTAACCAGCCCTGCAAAGGATACATTACATGCTAAAAAAGACAGTGAAGGAGCACTAGAATGTCACACAAACACCTCAATTTAAGAAGCAACTGCCTTCCACCCAAGCTGCCACTCCACAGCTAAGTCAAGAGCCAGGCCTCTGCAAGTGACACTTTCGACAAAGCTTTCCTGATTTTCTTGGTTTCATTTCCAATTTTTCAAAATTCTTGGTGTTCACCAGAAACACTTAACATCCTCATTGTAAAAAATTAGGAAAATACACAGTTTTATAAAGAGTAAGAAAGAAAACTGAGTTCCTGGAACTTTGGGAAAAATTATTTGGTTACCCCTGGCAGATCGGGGTAACCTGGACCACCTACCTGCATTCTCATCTTTTCTTTACTTGTATTATGCATATTAAGATGACAATCTACATATTATAACAAGCAGAAACAAAGCTCATCTCTGAAGTTAGGCGAGCTCTGAACACTAAGAATGTTTTTCAACCTTGATACATACCTTCTCCTAAGCCATTCAGCTGAACTTCCCCAAAATATATCCTGTATGCAAGAAAAAATAAGAAATGTTACGTGATTCTTTACTCCTAGGGGCCCCTATAGCCAAAACACCTAGAAACAAAATAAACAAAACAAAGCCTTCCTTACTCATCTGCTCAAATACCTCTCCTGATGGAGCATTAATAATTCCTATTACTTCAATTAAACTACAGGTATGGAGATGCATATAGAGTGGGTTGGTTAAAAAATAAGGAAAATACGGTCAGGCACAGTGGCTCATGCTTGTGATCCCAGCACTTTGGGAGGATCACTTGAGGCCAGGAGTTCAAGACCAGTCTGGGCAACACAGCAAGACCGTGCATCTACAAAAAATGATTTTGCTGGGTGTGGTGGTGCATGCCTGTAGTACCAGATACCCAGGAGGCTGAGGTGGGAGGATCACTTCAGCCCAGGAAGTCGACACTGCAGTGAGCCAAGATTGCACCACTGCATTCCAGCCTGGGCAAAAGGAGTGAGACCTTGTCTCAAAAAAAGAAATGAGGAAAATAATAATAAAGTGGAAATTGCTATTTAAGTTTCTTCTCTCTGCTACTAAAACATACTTTAAAATTACACCTACTGAGAAATAAAGAATATATAAAAAAAAGTGGCCAACAGGTCAAGGATTGCTACTAGAAGGCTTTTTTTTTTTTGAGACGGAGTCTTGCTCTGTCACCTAGGCTGGAGTACAGTGGCATGATCTCAGCTCACTGCAACCTCCAGCCTCCCGGGTTCAAGCGATTCTCCTGCCTCAGCCTCCCAAGTAGCTGGGATTACAGACATATGCCACCACGCCCGGCTACTGTTGTTTTTTTTTGTTGTTGTTGTTTTGTTTTCGAGACAGAGTCTTGCTCCGTCATCCAGGCTGGAATGCAGTGGCACGACCTCGGCTCGCTGCAAGCTCCGCCTCCCAGGTTCATGCCATTCTCCTGCCTCAGTCTCCCGAGTAGCTGGGACTACAGGCACCTGTTGCCACGCCCGGCTAATTTTTTGTATTTTAAGTAGAGACGGGGTTTTACAGTGTTAGACACGATGGTCTCGATCTCCTGACCTTGTGATCTGCCCGTCTTGGCCTCCCAAAATGCTGGCATTATAGGAGTGAGCCACCACGCCTGGCCCTGTTTTTTGTTTTTTGTTTTTTTGAGACAGTGTTTCGCTCTGTCTCTCAGGCTGGAGTGCAATGGCACCATCTTGGCTCACTGCAACCTCCACCTCCCGGGTTCAAGCGATTCTTGTGCCTCAGCCTCCCAAGTGGCTGGCACTACAGGTGTGCGCTACCATGCCCGGCTAATTTTTGTATTTTTGGTAGAGACAGAGTTTCGCCATGTTGCCCAGGCTGGTCTTAACTCCTGAGCTCAATGATACACCTGCCTTAGCCTCCCAAAGTGCTGGGATTACAGGTGCGAGCCACCACACCTGGCCTGTTTTTTGTTTTTTTAAAATAATTTTTTGGTAGAGACAGGGTCTAACTATGTTGCCCAGGCTGGTCGCAAACTCCTGGCCTCAACTATTATTTTTTTGAGACAGGGTCTCAGCCTGTTGCCCATGCTGGAGTACAGTGGTATGATCACTGCTCACTGCAGCCTTGACCTCCTGGGCTCAAGAGGTCCTCTCGCCTCAGCCTCCTAAGTAGCTGGGACTACAGGCGCGTGCCACCTCACCCAGCTATTTTTTTTAATTTCTAGTATAGACAGGGTCTCGGTGTGTTGCTCAGGCTGGTATCAAACTCCTGAGCTCAAGCGATCCTCCCACCTCAGCCTCCCAAAGTGCTGGGATTACAGGCGTGAGCCATTGCCCCTGGTCCTGGCCTCAAATTACTCTCCCACTTCAGTCTCCCAAAGTGCTGGGATCACAGGCATGAGCCACCATACTTGACCAGAATGTACCAGAGTTTGGTAAGTGGTCTTTAGTTGTAGGATGCTCTCTTTTACATATATATATATAATTTTAAAAATAGTAGTGATGAGGTCTTACTATGTGGCCCAGGCTGGTCTTAAACTCCTGGGCTCAACCAATCCTCCCACCTCAGCCTCCCAAAGTGCTGGGATTACAGGTGTGAGCCCACTGTGCCTGGCCATGAAGAAATCTCTAAGTAGATGGCTTAACAAAGCAGGAAATCTTTTCCACCATGGAATAATTAACTAGATAAGACTATTCTGAAAAAAAAAAAACAAAAAAAAAAAACAGGCCAGGCGCGGTGGCTCAAGCCTGTAATCCCAGCACTTTGCGAGGCCAAGACGGGCGGATCACGAGGTCAGGAGATCGAGACCATCCTGGCTAACCCGGTGAAACCCCGTCTGTACTAAAAAATACAAAAAAAAAAACTAGCCGGGCGAGGTGGCAGGCGCCTGTAGTCCCAGCTACTCGGGAGGCTGAGGCAGGAGAATGGCGTAAACCCGGTAGGCAGAGCTTGCAGTGAGCTGAGATCCGGCCACTGCACTCCAGCCTGGGCAACAGAGCAAGACTCTGTCTCAAAACAGACAAACAAACAAACAAACAAAACCCATAAACATAGTGGAACCTTCCTATGATTCTCCCTGGACAGGCCAGTCTATATTGGCAAAAAGTTTGAATTCTAAATACCTAAAATCTATTTTATATTTTTCAAGTAATACTGTTAAAAATTAAAATATATACATGGGTTTACTCAACAAATACTAAGCTCCAACAATGTATGAAGAAGCTTCATGGTTAGAAGTTAGGAATGAAATAAGGATAAATCTGAATCCTAGGTCTTACAGACTAGAGTCTTATATGAAAGAAAAGAAATGTAGCCGGACGTGGTGGCTCATGCCTGCAATCCCAGCACTCTGGGAGGCTGAGGTGAGCAGATCACTTGAGGTCAGGAGTTCAAGACCAGCCTGGCCAGCATGGTGAAATGCCATCTCTACTGAAAATACAAAAATTAGCCACGCGTGGTGGTACATGCCTATAATCCCAGCTACTTGGAAGGCTGAGGCACGAGAATCACTTGAACCCAGGAGGTGGAAGTTGCAGTGAGCCAAGATCGTGCCACTGCACTCCAGCCTAGGTGACAGAGCAAGACTCCACCTTAAAAAAAAAAAAAAAAGAAAAAGAAATGAAATGTATATAAATATCTGAAATACAAAGCACAAAAGAAAGACAGACAAAAGATACTAAAAAGCATGGATCAGCAAACCTTTCTGTAAAGGACCCAATAGTAAATATTTTAAGACTGTGGGCCGTATAGGCTATAACAACTACTCAGCTTTCTGTTGTATTGCAAAAAGTAGCCATAGACAATATGTAAACAAAGGGGATGGTGTGTCTTAAAAAAACTTTATAAAAACAAGCAGATGGTCGGCTAACCATAGTTTAGTGACTCCTGCCATAAAGTAATATAGGAACAATGTTAATAAAGTGTTGGTAAAAGAAATCTTGCTACATAAATACCCTTTAACGAAAAGTTGAGACTTAGGCATTCACTATTCATGTAAATGCTGATACAGTGCTTAAAATTTGCTAAACCTTTTCTTGGTTATGTGTATTTTTTTGAGACAGGGTCTTGCTGTCACCCAGGCTGGAGTGCAGTGGTATGATCATGGCTCACTGAAGCCTTGACCTTCTGGACCCAAGCAATCCTCCCTCAGCCTCCTGAGTAGCTGGGACTACAGGTGCGAACCACCACACTTGGCTAATTTTTTAAATTTTTAGTAGAGACAAGGAATCACTATGTTGCCCAGACTGGTCTCTAACTCCTGACTTCAGGTGATCCTCCTGCCTTGGCCTTCCAAAGTACTGGGAATACAGGCGTGAGCCATTACATCTGGTCAAGACTATTCTTTAATGGTATCAGGCTGTTAACCTTCTAACAACAGTATAAAAAGCAAGGGGAAACACCAAGTCTACCTCCTCTGAGATCACCCACCTCTCTAGATCTAAGCTACACTTATTTGTATCCAAAAGCACCCCTAAATGATCAACATCTTGTGAGAAGTACTAGTTTGGGTTTTTTTGAGATACAGTATTGCTCTGTCACCCAGGCTGGAGTGCAGTGGTGTGATCTTGGTTCCCTGCAACCTCTGCCTCCTGGGTTCAAGCGATTCTTGTGCCTCAGCCCCCAAGTAACTGGGATTACAGGAGCGTGCCACCCTGCCCAGCTAATTTTTTGTATTTTTGGTAGAGACAGTGTTTCATTATGTTGGCCAGGCTTGTCTCGAACTCTTATCCTCAAGTGACCACCCACCTCAGCCTCTCAAAGAGCTGGGATTACAGGCGTGTGCCCAGTCCCTGTGAGCAATAATGATTACTCCAGAGATACATGATAAAGGAACACTTTAAACACCGGTATGAAAAGGACTAGCAGTCCTAGGTAACTAAGCCGATGATTTTAGTAGGGTATCTTTCTAGTAAATCTGAATAAAAGTCTAGCAATTTTCAAATACAACAACTTGAAACCAGAAGAAGACTAGAGAGAAGACAACAAAAATTTATTAAAGGCCTAGAAAAGTAGACACGGTTAGGCTTGCTAGGATATTGCTAAGAAAGTTAAAGGAAATGACAAGTATTCTCTGGTACTGAATTGTTTCAACAGAACTAGTTAAGTCTCTCCTCCTTTGGTCCCGTCTTACTATACTATTTGTCTAAAATTCAGCACTATACATGTAAGGCAAAGGCTAAAACCAACGGCTCATCACTAAGTACAAAAGAAAGGCATCTTTAGTAGATTTGGGACCCCAGCATTCCAAGCTCTTCTCTCACACTTTGCTACATACCCTCTACTCCACCACTCTGGTTCATCTGACAATCTGAGCAGAGCTCTTACCCTGCCCTCCACTTCTGTGCCTTGCTAGCTGCTGAACTCTCCATCTGGAATAATTATTCTCCCTTACTTCTCCCAGCTCAAATTCTCTTTCCCTAATGGGCCAGCTTGAATGCCACTTCCTCCATAAGACCTGCACTGTTTACCAACCAGAACAAACTTTATCTTTCTATATTCTCTCAGTACCCTTTTTTCCTGATTCTGGTTTGGAGTTTTCAAATCCTGCTTTTTAAAAATAATTATACATGTATCAAACTGTTTCCCGCACTACATTAGAACCACCTCTAGTGCTGGGACTCTGTACAGTTCTTCAGTGCTCCTAGCACAATGCTTGCACTAAAAAGGCACTCAATAAATATGCTGAAGTGAAATGCTCCAAAGAAAATACTCTGTTGACCAGTTCTTTATATCCAGACAACTAATTAACAACTTAAACTGAGTTAGCAGTTTGTTAGACAAAGTTTTAATTTAACCCTGGAATACAGAAAACTGTGGAATCTTCCCAGTATAGACTGTTTTTTTAAAGTCTTGACTTCCAGGCTGGGCGCTATGGCTCACGCCTGTAATCCCAGCACTTTGGGAAGCTGAGGAAGGCGGATCACAAGGTAAGGAGTTCGAGACCAGCCTGGCCAATATGGTGAAACCCCGTCTCTACTAAAAATACCAAAATTAGCTGGGCATGGTGGTGGGTGCCTGTAGTCCCAGCTACTCAGGAGGCTGAGGCAGGAGAATAGCTTGAATTGGGGAGGCAGAGGCTGCAGTGAGCCAAGATCGTGCCATTGCACTCTAGCCTGGGCAATGGAGCGAGACTCCGTCTCAAAAATAAATAAATAAATTAATTAAATTAAGTCTTGACTTCCTTCCCTAGCTCTAAGATGTTTATCACTAGGACCTCAACATCCATTCCACAGGAATCATGATTGTGCATATAGAAAAGGATGATAAACCTGGTGGTTTTGGAAAGGTAAGGTTCATAAGGAAGGCTGGATACCAATCACATGAAAGCGACAGCATCAATAATCCAACAAACCAACCAACTGTCCGAAACATCATCACATAATATCTAAATGCTAGACAACGTGCAAAGTGAGGAGACTGATGAGTGAATCAAGATGACCATCTATGCTGTTTACCTGTATAATATGACATATTCATGCCCTTGTTTTCTGGAGAGCCTATAGGCTGGTGTCACCCTAGTTATAGCAAGAAGAGACTTCAGCAGCAATGACAGTCTGTTGTACACCGTGTAGGAAACTTTGATTTCTTTATCACACCTGCCAGGCACAAAGACACGGTCAGCATTCTCCTATTAAGCACTGGAACTACACAAGACCAAATTTATTATTAAGACATGCTCTGAACTAACCAGAGAACTCTAATTACACCTTTATCAACAGATGATTGAGGTTAAGTCAATGTCTTACTTTCTCATGTACAAGACACAGGGAAATGAGCACCAAAAGGCACCCAATGTATTTTTTTCTAGCTTCAAAGTACTTTATTTTTTTAGAAATAAAGCAGCACATCTGAAAACATATAAATAAATAAATACTGCAATTATATACACTGAAGGCGCAAACACGTACTATCCTATGAGCTGTCGCCCTTTCTATCTTGATAATCTAACAGAAGTCTGGGAAAAGTCAGCTTGGCTCTAAAATTTTGGGCCATAACCTGGCAATTGCATTTATTCAATAAAGAAAATTAATGTCCCCACATATACTTATCACTAAGATTTTTCTTTTGATGTATTGATATTTCCTCAATTTTCCTATATACTCTTGTTGAAAACTGAAGCTTCAGACAGGAGGTAAGCTAATCTGCCTTGAAAGAAGAAAACGGGGGAAAGAAATAACATGTATTTCCAATCCATGACCCATACAGTCTGTAAAAAGGAGCAGGGAGGGGAAATCTTATTGGATGGCTGCCACACAGAAAACAGACAAAACAGAGTAGTCATATTACAAGAGCTCGCAAGGGATTTAATCAGAGAACTAGCTGTACTCTGGGAAAACAACAAAGCCTTTTCAGCTTTCTCTGCTACTCCTTTCCCCGTAGTATCTGAGTCTCTCTGGACTGACGTTCCCTCTGAAGGTCATCTCTGTGTCTAGGCTGGAAGCCAAGCATGAAGCAAATTGTAGCACAGACCTATTGGCTTTGTTAAGTGGTCAGAATGCCCTCCCTGACTCTGAAAACAAAGCCCTGCTTTTCACATGATGTCATCTGATTTATCCTCAGCAACCACAACCAAGGACCCTAAGATGCAGCACTTACTTTTCGTTCATTTCAAGACACCATATTTCCAGCTCCATGGAATCTCCCTGTAGAAAGGACAAATTTAAAACATTTGTTTTAAAAATTTTTAATTTCAAAGCATTACAGTCACTATAAAAATATTAAAAGGTATAGATAAGCAAAAAGAAAAAAAGGGATATCAACTTATAATCGAACCAGCCTCTTCTCTAACTAAAAGGGCAATCACAGTCTATATACTACTTTGAGGACTTGCTTTTTCTTAATAAATACTTCATGGAATTTTCCCTACAATTAAAAATTCTAAATCATTTAAAATGGTTCCGCAGTATCCCACTATAGGACTATCATTTTATCCAACCAGTCCTCCAATTCTTGGACATAAAGGTTGTTTCTTTTTTTTTTTAAGACAGAGTCTCACTCTGTCGCCCAGGCTGGAGTACAGTGGTGTAATCTGGGGTCACTGCAAGCTCCGTCTCCCAGGTTCATGCCATTCTCCCGCCTCAGCCTCCCAAGTAGCTGGGACTACAGGCACCCGCCACCACAGCTGGCTAATTTTTTGTATTTTTAGTAGAGACGGGGTTTCACGTGTTAGCCAGGATGGTCTTGATCTCCTGACCTCGTGATGCACCCGCCTCGAACTCCCAAAGTGCTGGGATGACAGGCATGAGCCATAGCACCCGGCCAAGGTTGTTTCTTTAGTCTTGGTTTTTGTATCTTCATCTGAGTTTGAACATAAAGGTTGTTTCTAATTTTCATTACTGCAAACATTAGTGATAAACAACCTTGAGACTAAACTTTTCCAACAAACTCAATTAATTTCTTTGGGAAAATTTTCAGAACTACAACTGCTGAGCCGGGCATGGTGGTTCACGCTCATAATCCCAGCACTTTGGGAGGCCGAGGCCAACAGACCATGAGGTCAGGAGATCAAGGCCATCCTGGCCAACATGGTGAAACCCCATCTCTACTAAAATACAAAAAATTAGCCAGGTGTGGTGGCACATGCCTGTAATCCCAGCTACTAGGGAGGCTGAGGCAGGGCAATCACTTGAACTCGTAAGGCAGAGATTGCAGTGAGCCAAGGCCACGCCACTGCACTCCAGTCTGGTGACAGAGCAAGACTTCATGTCAAAAAAAAAAAAAAAAAAAAAAAAAAAAGAATTGCTGGGTCAAAGAGTGAGTATACATGCTTTTAAGACTTTTGATATGTATTTCCAAACTGCTCTTCAGAAAGGCGAACACATTTCAAATGAGGGGGAGTCTTTCCCTCCAATTCCAGGAGGAATACTTTTAGGTGATAACCACAGTTTAGGAAAGCTTGTTACCTTAACAAGTTCTTTAGTTAAAAATCTTTTAGGGCCGGGCACAGTGGCTCACGCCTGTAAACCCAGCACTTTTGGAGGCCAAGGCAGGTGGACCATCTGAGGTCAGGAGTTCAAGACCAGCCTGACCAATATGGTGAAACCCCCGTTTCTACTAAAAATACAAAAATTAACTGGGCGTGGTGGCTCATGCCTGTAATCTCAGCACTCTGGGAGGCAGAGGTGGGCGAATCACGAGGTTAAGAGATAGAGACCATCCTCGCCAACATGGTGAAACCCCGTCTCTACTTAAAATACAAAAATTAGCTGGGTGTGGTGGCGGGTGCCTGTAATCCCAGCTACTCGGGAGGCTGAGGTAGGAGAATTGCTTGAACCAGGGAGGGGAAGGTTGTAGTGAGCCAAGATCGCACCACTACACTCCAGCCTGGGCAATAGAGCAGAAAAAAAAAAAGTGCTATGGGGGTGGGGTTAAGTAATTTAGCTACAGTCACTTGGCTGGGATTGAACTTGGGTCTGTGTAGCTCCAAATTCTATTTACCTTTAATTATACCATACAGCCTTACAATCTATTAGTGAAAATACATTGAAACAGTATCTGCATCAATCCTAATGTGAAATAAGGCAAGCAAACACATTTTTAAAACTCATAATACTGGCTGGGCAAAGTGGCTCACTCCTATAATCCTGGCACTTCGGGAGTGTGAGGCAGGAGGATCAGCTGAGGCCAGGAGTTTGAAGCTGCAGTGAGCTATAAGCAGAACTGCACTCCAGCCCGGGCAGTACAGGGAGACCCTGTCTCTACAAAATTTTTTATTTTTTTTTTAAACATTAGCCGTGTGTGGTGGTGCATGCCTGTACTCCCAGCTACTCGCAAAGGCTGAGGTGGGAGGATCCCTTGAACCTAGGAATTTGAGGCTGCAGTAAGCCATGACTGCACCACTGAACTCCAGCCTGGGTTACAGAGTGAGACCCAGTCTCAAAACAGTAGCAGGCTGGGCATGGTGGCTCAGGCCTGTAATCTTAGCACTTTGGGAGGCCCAGGCAGGTGGATCACCTGAAGTCAGGAGTTCGAGACCAGCCTGGCCAACATAGTAAAACCCTGTCTCTACAAAAAATACAAAAAATAGCCGGGCATGGTGGCACACACCTGTAACCCCAGCTACTCGGGAAGCTGAGGCACGAGAATTGCTTTAACACGGGAGGTGGAGGTTGCAGTGAGCTGAGATCATGCCACTGCACTCCAAGCTGGGAAACAGAGCAAGACTCTGTCTCAAAAAAAAAAAACAACAAAAAACAAAACAACCCCAAAAGCAACTACCACCACCACCACCCAGCAAGTCACACTGTAGAAACAAATATAAACAAAGCACCATAGGAATTCTAAGTAAAGACTGCAGTTATATCTCCCACTAAAAGGGGGAAACTTTCTAGAGCACGTGAGTCTTGAAGGACGAGCAAAAGTATGTCATGTGAACAAGAGGGTAAAGAGCCTACATCAAGTGGTTGGAATAATAAGTTCAAAAACCATGATCCCTGTAATCCCAGCACTCTGAGAGACTGAGGCAGGCAGATTGCTTGAGCTCAGGAGTTTGAGACCAGCCTGGGCAACATGGTGAACCCCCATCTCCACAAAAAATACAAAAACTAGCTGGGCATGGTGGTGCATGCCTATAGTCTCAGCTACTCAGGAAGCTGAGGTGGGAGGATTATTTGAGCCTAGGAGGTTGAGGCTGCAATGAGCCATGATTTTGCCACTTACTCCAGCCTGGGTAACTGAGCAAGACCCTGTCTCAAAAAACAAAACAGGCCGGGCACAGTGGCTCACACCTGTAATCCCAGCACTTTAGGAGGCAGAAAGTGGGCGGGTCACCTGAGGTCAGGAGTTCAAGACCAGTCTGGTCAAAATGGCGAAATCCTGACTCTAGTAAAAATACAAAAATTAGCCAGGCATGGTGGCAGGTGCCTGTAATCCAAGTCACTTGGGAGGCTGAAGCAGGAGAATTGCTTGAATCCAGGAAGTGAAGGCTGCAGCGAGTCAAGATCGTGCCACTGCACTCCAGCCTGGGCAACAAGAGTGAAACTCTGTATCAAAAAATAAAATAAAAGAAAAACAAAAAACAGGGCGGGCGCGGTGGCTCACTCTTGTAATCCCAGCACTTTGGGAGGCCAAGGCAGGCGAATCACAAGGTCAGGAATTCGAGACCAGCCTGACCAACATGGTGAAACCTCATCTCTACTAAAAATACAAAAATTAGCCAGGCGTGGTGCATGTACCTGTAATCCCAGCTACTCAGGAGGCTGAGGCAGGAGAATCACTTGAACCCGGGAGGCAGAGGCTGCAGTGAGCCGAGATTGCTCCACTGCACTCCAGCCTGGGCAATAGACTGAGACTCAGTCTCAAAAACAAACAATCAAGCAAACGAACAAAAAAAACCCATGACCCCCTGAGAGAATGATAAGCACATCAGAGAGGAAAGGGCAGGAATAAGACTGAGAAATGAATTCGACTCAGAGGAAGAGCCTTGAGTGCTAAATGAAGACACCAACCTGGCCATAGCCTTACCTCAGAAGTCTTAAGTGAAATCTCCACACACATAGACCTCCCGACCGCAGGCAGCTGCCCTGCCAGTGCCTTCTTTGCTTCATGTGTAACCTCTGGGATGTCTTTGATTGCTAAGTTGAACTGGAAAACAAAAGGGACTTTTGCATGAAACACTCACAGGAACATTATGAAAACAGAAATTAGTGTATGTTGGGTAACACAAGTATTGCTGTGGCTGATTAAGGAAGACAATTCATTCACTTCTCCCTTTCCCATAAGGGATAATACTGCATCAAAGCCACAAATCTCAAGTTGAAAAAGGTAATTATCATTACAAAAATTGGCCAAGATACAATTTTTGTCTTCCAAGGACTAAGCTTTTCATCTATCATAGCAGAAAGTTAAGAACCAAATAAATTCAGGATTAACATACAATAAGAATATCCTTTTCAAGTAAATGGATCAAATAGAATTAGATATTTTAATGTTATTTATAATAATATAAATGGTATTACTTATTATTATTGCACTTGAGAACTTTACATTCATTCCTTGTGACAAACACTACAGTATATCTTAGTAAATAATAGAATTTTACCCAATCTGAACCCGTTGGAGAAGATGATGAACGAGTGCAAATCTTTTCACCAAGACGAGCCTGGACAATCACTTGGACAGTCTGGGGGAAAAAAAAAAAAAAAAAAGAAATCCCAAAATGATGAAAAGTCTTAACAAACTAATCTGGCTCCTGATCAGGGTTAAAATCCTCCCAATACAGGGTTTAAACGATGCCAATTAACCATAAGTATACTTTGGGAAACAGTATAGTTTTAATTTTTGAGAACAGATAGAAAAAACATTACATACAAAAAACAACTTTATAAACATTCCTGAAGGTATAGTGTCAACCAATGAAAGGAATTACAGGTTGAGGCTTGGAAACTGTAATATTCTCATACGGCAGAAGGAAAGCTGAGCATAGTGGTTTGATGTTCATAAAGAAACGAGTCCAACTGTGGTTTTAAATATTCACTGTCACAAACTTACAACCCCATGGTAGATTTAAAACAAAAATTCCACAATTATTCATACCATTTGGCCCATATGGCAAAAGTCTTCCACATAATTTCACAACTAAAATCAACTACATGGATTGTTCTAGCATGGCAATGGTTGAGAGGAGTGACATAGGTGGAAATGATTTTTAGATTTAGGAAAATATGGGATTCAAAATTCAATTTTAATTCCCCATTTACCAGGAAGGGAACAATACATAAAATTTGAACATTTCAGGATTAGTTGAAACTTAAGGAAAGATGTCCGAAATGCTGCCCATTCCAGCTGACGGTCTTTGTTCCCACCCAAAGGGAACATACTGTGCCAATAACCTGGCATAACAATTTGACATTTCTGCAGTCTTACAAAAAAAAAAAAAATTTTTTTTTGAACAAGTAGCTGTAGAAAATTGGAAGCTACATTTTAGCTACACCCCCAATACCGCCCCCATACCTCACAGTTTGGTTGACAACAGACAGAAGTATCCCTTAAAATGGGCAAGCTGCAAGCTGTTATGCTACTTTCCAAAGAGAGTTGTTCGCAAAAGGCAGAAGCACGGAAGTTATTTCTAACACTTCTGGGCTCACGAGAATGGACATATTACCTTGAGGGCAAAAAATTTAATAAACTTGTCCAGATCCTTTCTGTCCTGGGAATTGAGATCAGTTTCCATTGCCTATAGGAATCTAAAAAAAAAAAAAGTGAAAAAAACATGACTAATATCTTTAAAAAGGCATTGATACATCAAAGCATACAGAGATGGTATTGTCTACTAGCCTAGGAATAATCATGTGGGAGTGGGAGGAAAAAAAATTTCCTTTAACTAAAGATACCAATGTGAAAAACACTGAGATACTATCTCTTGAGGAAAATAGATTTCACAAAGAGTTACATCTAGGAACCTAAAAAATGAATGAGAACATTTTACCTGATTCTGAAACTTCGAGCTTTAAATATAATTATCCATTCAAAATTATTTCATCATCCAGCAGATTTAGGACTACATTTTAATGAGACATAAACTTTGCTGAACTCACATGAGTTAATTTATCTTCCTTCAAAGGTCACTAAATCAATTTAACTTTGGGGAGTTATGGGCTTTTGAGAATCTATTGACAAAAGCCCTTTCTCCAGAAAAATATATACATACAGGAATGTTTGCATATAATTTCAAGGGGATTCATGGATTTCATGAAACACACCATAAATGTCCTTCCTGGCTGGCCGCTATGGTCATGCCTGTAATCCCAACACATTGGGAGGCCAAGGCAGGAGAATTGCTTGAGCCATGGAATTTGGACCAGCTTGGGCAAGACCAACATGGTGAGACCCCCATCTCATATTTAAAACAAAAAAAGGGGGGCCCTCCCAGGTTGACATGATTTGAGATGATTTGATAGAAAGGATGCATTTAGAGAGAGACAAGCATGAACAAAGAGGCATAAACAACAGAGAGCAAATTAGGTTTAGAAATAATAAGTATTCCAGTTTTCCAAAGGATTGAGTATAGATGGAAAATGTTAATGGACGTCCTGGGCCAGCAGATAAAATGGATTCCCGCAGCTGAGGGGTGCCATGTTTAAAACAGAACAAGACGGCCATAGCTGGTGGACCAAGTAGTTATGTACGCTTTGTTCTCAAAAATATGTATAAAAGTAGTACAGGACCTCCCTTTTTATAATCAAGCCGAACGTGTTGGAGCTGTTGATTCCAAGCTAAATTGGGCAAGAACCCCCAACCCCCAACCCCTGAACTCCCTCAATCAGCCGTTTGAAACAAATGTCTGAGAGACTTCTGGTTTTGGGCTTGGAAACTAACCCTTTCTGGCTCAGGGCTCAGCTGTATCAACCAATCAGAACTCGGCTATGCTGACCAACCAGAACTAAGCAAGTTTCAATCCTTCCTTTGCATAAGCAGACCTGACTCTGAACCTAGGCACTATAAAACCTGCACCCTCCCTTTGTTCTGCCAGTTTGCAAACTGTTCACTGGGATAAAGTCTCTTTCCCCCAAATTCCTTTGCAGAGAACTTTTGTTCACAGGAAGTAATACAGTGTTGGGGCCAGACCATGAGCATCTTGAATATAATCAGCATCTAGAAGCCAGATCTGCACCTAGTGTAGGAGACAGGGGAGCTCACCCAAGGCTTTTGACAAGAGGAAGTGACACAATCAGAGTGGTAACAACATCCTGAATGTTGCTTTAGAAAGACAGCTTTGGCCGGGCACGGTGGCTCACGCCTGTAATCCCAGCACTTTGGGAGGCTGAGGCGGGTGGATCACGAGGTCAGGAGATCCAGACCATCCTGACTAACACGGTGAAACCCCGACTCTACTAAAAATACAAAAAATTAACAGGGCGTGGTGGTGGGCGCCTGTAGTCCCAGCTACTCAGGAGGCTGACGCAGAAGAATGGCGTGAACCCGGGAGGCGGAACTTGCAGTGAGCCAAGATCACGCCACTGCACTCCAGCCTGGGCAACAGAGCCAGACTCTGTCTCAAAAAAAAAAAAAAAAAAAAAAAATTACACAGCTTTACAGGCATAATGCAGAACACTTTTGAGTATGAAAAGTGGGGAAATCAGTTAAGTCCTTGGCAATTTTAATTAAGGATTGTGATCAAGGCCAAAACTCTAGCACAGGCATGATTGGGCAATATTTTAGAGAAGCTGAAGGCCAGGGGTGGTGGCTCACGCCTGTAATCCCAGCACTTTGGGAGGCCGAGGTGGGTGGATCACTTGAGGTTGGGAGTTTGAGATCAGCCTAGCCAACACGGTGAAACCTCGTCTCTACTAAAAATGCAAAAATTAGCTGGGTGTGGTGGCACACACGCCTGTAACACCAGCTACTCGGGAGGCTAAGGCAAGAGAATTGCTTGAACCCAGGAGGCAGAGGTCGCAGTGGGCCCAGACTGCACCACTGCATTCCAGCCTGGGTGGCAGAGTGAGACTTCAACTCAAAAAAAAAAAAAAAAAAAAAAAAAAACCCAAAAAATAAAAAAACAAGGAAGAGTTAGTAAGATTTAATGACCAACTTAAGAAACAGGATAAAGGAGTGGCAGAGTTTTAAACGTGGATAACTGAGAGGCTAGAGTTTCATTTAACAAAAACAGGGAAGCCAGACTGGGAAAAGATTTTAAGGAAAAGAATAAAGAAGGCCGGGCGCGCTGGCTCAAGCCTGTAATCCCAGCACTTTGGGAGGCCGAGACGGGCGGATCACGAGGTCAGGAGATCGAGACCATCCTGGCTAACACGGTGAAACCCTGTCTCTACTAAAAAATACAAAAAACTAGCCGGGCGAGGTGGCGGGCGCCTGTAGTCCCAGCTACTCGGGAGGCTGAGGCAGGAGAATGGCGTGAACCCGGGAGGCGGAGCTTGTGGTGAGCTGAGATCGCGCCACTGCACTCCAGCCTGGGCGACTGAGCAAGACTCCGTCTCAACAACAACAACAACAACAACAACAACAACAAAAAAAAAGAATAAAGAAAAGGAGAACTGAAAGAGGAAATAATGGGTACACATTAAATTCTTTTTTGGCCGGGGACGGTGGCGTACACCTGTAATCCCAACAGTTTGGGAGGTTGAGGCAGGTGGATCACTTTAGACCAGGAGTTGGAGACTAGCCTGGACAACATGGCACAACCTGTCTCTACTTAAAATACAAAAAAATTTAGCCAGGCATAGTGGCGCATGCCTGTAGTCCCATCTACTCAGGATGGTGATGTGGGAGAAAGGCCTGAGCCCTGGAGGTCAAGGCTGCAGTGAGCCATGGCTGCTCCACTGCACTCCAGCCTGGGCAACAGGAGTAAAACTCTGTCTCAAAAAAAAAAAAAAAGAAAAAAAAATTCAGGTATAACTTAGATGCATTGAAATGCACAAATCTTGGGTGTACAGGTCAATAAATATTTTTATATGTATACACCCATATAACCACAATCCAGATACAGTTATAGAACATACCCAATATTCTAGAAGGCTCCATTACACCCCTCTCAGTCTATAAATCCACCAAAAGGAAATAATTACTGATCTCTGTCACCACAGATTAGTTTGGGCTGTTTTAAATTTCTTACAAATATAATCAATAATATTAACTCTCTTGTGTGTGGCTTTTATTCAACATTATGTCTGTAATACAATTCATCTACACTGTTGGATATAGCAGCAGCTTATTCTTTTTCATTGCTTCATAGCACCCTCTCTCATGAATATAACATAATATTAAAAATAAATTCTAGGCCGGGCACAGTGGCTCACGCCTGTAATCCCAGCACTTTCGGAGGCCGAGGCGGGTGGATCACGCGGTCAGGAGTTCAAGACCAGCCTGGCCAAGACAGTGAAACCCCTTCTCTACTAAAAACACAAAAATTTGCTGGGTGTGGTGGTGGGCACCTGTAATCCCAGCTACATAGTAGGCTGAGGCAGAGAACTGCTTGAACCCAGGAGACAGAAGTTGCAGTGAGCCAAGATCACACCACTGTACTCCAGCCTGGGCAATGGAGCAAGACTCCGTCTTAAATAAACAAACAAATAAATAACATTCTACTGATCATAAACATTTGGGTTGTTTCCTGTTTTTAGCTATCATATTCTCGTATATGTCTTTTGGTGGATGTAAACATTCACTGCTATCAGAGGCAAAGCCAGGAATGTTAATGGTGGGTCACTGAGTATACGGTACATATGTTTAGCTTAAATAGACACTGCCAGAAAGGTTTAAAGTATCTGTACCAGTTCACAGTCCCAGCAGCAGTGTTTGAGTGCTCCAGCTGCTATAAATTTATATACCACTTGGTAATAGTTATTCTTTAATTTCAGCCATTCTGGTAAAGATAGTAGTATCTGGTAGTATCTCATCTAATCTGCATTTCCCTGATAACTGAAATTTCCCCTATTAGCACCTTTACATATGCTTATTAGCAATTTGGATATCCTATTTTATTATTGTATTTTTTAATTTTGTGAGACAAAATATTGCTCTGTTGCCTAGGCTGGAGTGCAGTGGCATGATCATAGCTCACTGCGGCCTCAATCAACCAGGCTCAGGCAATCCTCCTGCCTCGGCCTCCAAGTAGCTGGAATCACAGGCTACAGCTAAGATATCCTCTTTTGTGAAGTGCTAGTTTAAGCCTTTTGCCCATTTTTACCATTGTGTTTTCTTTTTCTTACTGGAGTTTTAAACATATATTCTGGATACAAGTACTTCGTTGGATATACATACTGCAAATATCTTCTCCCAGAGGTGGCTTGCCATTCTGATGGAACCTATTTTTAATTTATTTTTATTTATTTATTTATTTTTGAGACGGAGTCTCGCTCTGTCACCCAGGCTGGAGTGCAGTGGCGCGATCCCCGCTCGCCGCAAGCTCCGCCCCACTGGGTTCACACCATTCTCCGGCCTCAGCCTCAGGCGCCCGCCACCATGCCCGGCTATTTTTTTTTGTATTTTTAGTAGAGATGGGGTTTCACTGTGTTTGCCAGGATGGTCTCGATCTCCTGACCATCTGGGATTACAGGCATGAGTCACTGCGCCTGACCTATTTTTCATTTTTTAAAAAGAGACTGAATATACTAACAGACAAGGGCTATGAAGCCATTCTTAGAAGATTAACAAGAATTCTGGACAGAAATATAATTAACCATTAATCAGGCTGCACTTTGACCCACTTCCTTGTAACCATTTGCATCCC